AACATAAAGAAAAGTCTTCTCTGAATCTTTATTTCGACATTATTAAAATACAAATTAATTTTGGATTTACTTCATTTTTTTCAGTTTAGTTTTTCTAAAAAAAATTTCTTTTTTTTTTTGGGGGGGGGGTGTCAAAAAATTAAAACATCCTCAGTTTTGCATGGACTGTACATGCATGTGTAATGTACGCATGGTTTTTATCCAATCTAAGCAAGTATATGAAGCCAATTGTATGACAGTTTGTGACTTATGTGAAAAAATGACGATAACTTTTGCAAATAATTTTTTAGAAAAAATCAGAGGTCAAATTCGGATTCAGCGCATCTAAATCATGGGGCATGCATAACTTGAATGTATTTATACTCAAACGGAGAGCCACTATGATTTTAAATCACTGAAAAATGAATTGGGACCACAGTGAGCCGGTGCGGACGTCGCGACGCAGGATTTCCTCTCTCCGCCGCATGCCGCTGTCGGGGGCCATGCGTCCGATAATTTTTTACGGTCTACTTTTATGTATTGTTTTCCACATTTTTAGCTGTAAGTAATTTATTAATTGTTCCAAAATATTTTAGGGTGTTCGGCGTACACAGCGAACTTTTGGACCCCACGCCGCTGCTCCCTTCCAAAAAAATGCGGTTTTGGTAACCGATAAAATTTGATGTAGAATTACGTTATTTGCTCGGCGCATGATAGGTGCACCTACAACAGATGATGAATTAAGTGGCTAAGAGATAGCATGTCACATAAGTCATTTAAGATACGAGCAAAGGAGGTGGCGCTCTCGGCGGGCGGGTGGTGAACCATTTCCAGCGGGGCGAGTGGGAGAGCTCTCTGGCGAACAACCTCGTATATTCATAATTTCCGTCGCTGATTCAGCAATTTCTAATGGCCGAGTGGATGGGGCACTCGACCGCCTACTTTGAGACTTGGGATCGATGCTCGGCAATCCCCGTTTTATACTATGACTATTTAAACATCGGATAGTGATTCTACTCATTGAAGTGGGTTTTTGATAGTTTTTTACCGTGCTTAAGGAAAGATTATATACATAATCGTATCTAATAAACTTCGAAGGATTCAGACTTTCAGCGATTCTACCTTTTTCTATTTCACTCGAGAGGTTGCCAGATTGTGCGATAAATGTGAATATTTTACATAGATTTGAATTGGGAAAAGTGTTAATAAAGCAACTTATCCGGCAACAATAGAGTCCGGGAGGGAAGAGAGGCTGCTTTCCTGGGAAAACCCATGATTTAGCCGGAAAAGTCATGAAAACAATTGATTCCGTTTGAAGCATCAATTGTATACTAAGGGAAAGCTATTTGAAAATAATAATTGTAAATGGACACAGATGCTACGGAAAGGTAAAAAGGAAAGAGAAAGGAAATGAAATGAGGATATGATTACTAAAATGCAATCAGAGAGAATAAAACAAAAACATCAGTGAAATTTATATGCAATGAAAGTATACGAAAAAAGCACGAGTGGGCTCATTGCGATTCGGAACTCAAACTATTACTATCGTTGAGCAGTTTTTAGACCTATACGCCACCGATCATCTTCTTAAGAGGTAAAGATGAACTATTGCTACTTCAGCCAGTCAAATCGCGGAAGGAGATCCACGGATTGTCTTTTTCCGCCACCCGATGGGATGACCCTAGTCAAATGCGTTTTTGAAGAAATGATCGATCCCCATCATCGCTTCATCTTCACACATCTATTCATGTGCAAATGATGGCACGCTCCGGCAACAAGGTTCTGTGACAAAATCATTTTTACCTCCACAAGTCCAGAGTCTCCAAAATGTATACATCTTAGTGATCAAATGTCCAATCACTGAGAAAAATGGCTCGCGGAGCGAGCCGAATATCCCTCGCGTAGCGAGTGATTGGGGGACCAAGGAGCGCAGCCCCCTGGTTGGCCGTGACGGACGCGCAAAGCGCGTCCAGAACGGCTAGTAATATATGGAGGGAGTTAAACAGAAAGGAACCAAGCCACATCGGGATCGAACCGAGAAAAAGAGGTTTAAAGTTTGGCTCCTGCATAAGACTCAATGTAAAAGATAAACTTCAAGTTCAATTTCTGCAAAATTTGCTTCAACAAAAACTTTGAATTTTTGGCGATAGATAGTAGAGCAGTGGTTGAGTTCAAAACCACTCATAACTCAATTTTTTCCAAAATGTGGGTTGGTTCCTTTCTGTTTAACTCAGTCCATATAATCGTATCTAAATTATGATGTCAATGAATCCAATAGATCCTAATGAATCGTAGAAAAGCTAAGATTTTTAAGGATCTCCGTCTTTACTAGGAGGTATCAATAATCGATTATTTAATTGAAGATGCCTCATAATATCGACAAGTCGATTCTGAATGTATAAATTCATCACATATCGGTTTGAATAAAAATATCATAACTATTATCGTTTTATCCCAATTCCAATCGAACTTCATGATTTTGTGAAACTGGCAGTATTCTTTTAAATATTCCAGCAAAAGTGTCTATGCTTCAGCGAGAGAGTCTTCTGCGATCTTCGCACCATAGTGGGGGGGGGGGGGGGCGAAGCCCTACCCATATGCCGGCGCGAAGCGCCGGTACGCGGCACTTGCGCCATTTTCTACCTTCGTAAGGACTCCACGGAGACATAAAAGCATTCCCTGGCAAAATAATTATTGTATCTCCATGTTCAGTGTAAAAAGAGTCTTCGTAAATTGAAGGCCTGATTTTTTACACGGTTGGCAAGTCGGACAAAAAAATGGCGAAAATCGCCGTGATTTTGACCAAATCGAGCGATTCAGCCTAACCGTGGGCTTGCAAATATGGGGGAAACCGCCTGCATTCGAAAAACTAATCTTTTCCTCTACTCACTTACATAAATGGTTCCTAAAAAACAAAAAATTACTTTCTGCGTGGTTGCCAAGTCCCCTAAAAAATCGATAAAATCACTGAAATATCGACGGTGTAAGTCGGCAATCACATAACTCGGTTTGCGACGTCGCAGACTTTCCGTCATACTTTATTTTTAAGAGGGAAAACTACTCAACGGCAATTCTTTAAAACTGCCGGATTTTTCTTCTACAAGCGAAGAAAATTCTTCATGAACTTCAAGGAATGATGTCAATTTGTTCTCCTTTAAAATAATATAATAGAGGCGGAGATTTTCAGACACCGCAAACGAGTTATGTGATTGCCGACTTACACCGTCGAGATACGATTCGTAATTGGCCGCAATTGTGTGTTTTCTGCATTTAAGGGCATGTGGGGGGCAGGGGGGGCACAGAAAATATTTTGATTCAAAAACTATTTAGCATGCTTTAAAGGACTACTAGAGGCCAGTTAATACTCCAAAAATGAGGGCTCTAGCCAATATCTATCATGCTGAAACAGTGCGATGAAATCGCAAAGAACAGGTTGAAGTATGTGATATTTTGACACAAATTGCAAAAGAAGCATCCGTAAAAAGTTTCTTTTCGAAGAATACTTAGGCACACATCGCGGCCGAGACTGATGCGTTGTCAGTTAAGATATTATACCGAATAAACAATCTAAGGTTTCCTGAAATGAACGTTTAGAGTCATTTTCGGCTTCAGCAGCACAAGTATCCCTAATGATTTCGCTATCGGCGATGCCTGCGAACCGTAAATCCCAAGTTGAAGGATGCAAGAATGGCATTCACTTGTAGAGGCCGTTCTTCCACCCATCAATCCAGAGGCCTGACTTAACTCAGAAAAAAGTTTTTTTTTTTTACCTCCAGCCGTTATCTATCAATATTTTACCGATTTCACAGTATAGTCTGAGGTGCGGAGAATCTAAAAAGCCGATGGAAGCAATAATGGCTTATACGTGTATAGCCCCTTATTAGTGTGGGGTCCTTAATTACTGTCCAAGGGTTAAACATTGAACTATGTAGCTTTAAGTGCATAGTGAGGTATCAATGGTCAGGTTCTCATGGTTGCAGAATACGAAAATGCAACTCATCTTCTCTTCCCGTTCCTGGGAAATTCTTAAAGTGAATGTGACGGCTCTAAAATGAAAGATGACAGACATTTCCACGTGTTAAGGGGAAAGGGGCCACTGGATAGAGTGGGCTAAAAAATAGCTTTGTCTGAAAATCTAAACCAAAATAGTGTCAAGGCAGAGGCTAAACTAAATAGTGCGGAAAGCTTGCATATTGACATCTGCTTGAAGCCTACAAAAAAGTTTGCCTCAACACAAATTCTAAAGTTAAACCCATCAATTGTGAGAAAAATCACTCCTTTAATTCATGCGATTTTTGCAAATTACACTGAAATTGTTAAGCATGATAGTAATCAACTAAAGTCCTCATTTTTGGCATCTAAACTCACGTTTAATGGTACTTTAAAGTGTGATGATTTGTTTTTGATCAAAATGAATTTTTGTGCTCGCCTTCCCCCTCCCCCCCACTTGAGCTCATGGTAGGTATTTAAAACACCGAGCCTTCCGACACCCGGCTGAATCGACTCATGCGAAAACGTCTGTTGTCCAATACAAAGTTTCATAATTTCAGTGATTCCTTTTGCCCCGCGACACTGATGAATAAGATCGATGTATATTGTAGACGTTGAATTATACTCAGGGGATTATGTATAAAATTGTTCTACATTCCTAACTTCTTAAACCATTAATATGTCTTTCAGATATAACGAAATTGTTCATTCAAATTCTGAAACACTGTCTTGGACATTGGACGTTTTCGCATACGCCGATTCAATTGTGTTCAAGGGTCATGAAATCAAAATTGGGACCGATGTGTCTGAGGTATAAGCTATATACCAATGCTTCCATGTCTCAAACACAACTGCATTTCTTTTATACATCAGGAAGTTTATTGGGATGTGAGTGTATGCCTCTTCTTATAATTTTCACATTGTGAGGTAGGAATAATAAATTAAAACTTTCGGCTTTAATGAATGAATGGATGATTTGATTGTGTATGATTTTGGAAAAATATTATATGACCATCTAGATCAAAACTTACAATTCAAGTTGTCTCACTCGTTGCGCTTGTAATCTTCTTCTGGCAATGGAGACTTCATCATTTGAGATTTTCCAAAGATCAGTCGGTGCGTTTGGTGCATTCCGCAAATCAATGATAAACTTCTCAAATACATACAGCGTGCAAGCTAAAGATGTGAGAATTAATATGCTAGAGCTATTCCTATGATAAAATCGGCTATACCAGGGCAGATGACCCAGAGGATCAAATTTAGGTGGCGGTTTGTAAATTCTAATTTTCTGCTTGGTCATTTCTGCCTCCTGAAACCATCGGTCTGGAAAAAAACAAAACAAAACAGGAAAAGAGTAATGAAAAGTGAAAGACTCCTGCCTGACTTCACGTCAGGCAATTCTCTTTAGCTTTCACAATACTTAAATAGTATCTTCATGATTCAGTGGTTTTC